AAAAAACCGCGTACCAATATCATGCAAAACCGCGTATGTGAGGTTGCATGCATTATTTTGTAGAGAGTAAAAACACGAATATTTCAAAACTATTCTCTCTTTCATGAAGCAATCGCATTTCTGGCTAGTATATTTCAGGACGAATGGATAAGGCTTGAGCCAAGGGCTTCCAAATCCAATTTTTGGCAAAAATGTCAGTTACGTGGTTTTGCAGAACGACGATACGCGGTTTTGTAATTAAAACGACGATATGCGCTATTTTATACCGCCTTTAAAATTCAGATTGCTTTTAAGGTATGTGGATTTAACTGCCGAGCGAAGACCACAATAAAAAGCGTTTCTAGTATTAAAGGGGAAACGAATTTGGAGCATATCTAATGGTACTTTCTCGTCTGTAACACCCTCAACAGGTGGTTGCCTTTTGCGACAACTTATCGTCGTTTAAAGTACAAAACCGCGTATCAGCAAAATGCAAAGCCGCGTATCAAGATAATGTAAAACCGCGTATGTGAGGTTGTATAAATTATTTTCTAGAAAGTAAAAACACTCATATTTCAAAATGGTTCGCTTTTTTTTATAAAGCAATCGCTAGTATATTTCAGGACGAATGGATAAAGATTGAGCTAAGAGCTTGAGTGAGCAAATCCAATTTTTGGCAGCCAATGTCAATTACGCGGTTTTGCAGAATGACGCTACGCGGTTTTGTACTTTAAACGACGTTATGTAATTGTATTTCAGTAAATGGTCAAGCCTTGTCTGTTGCTGGCATCCCAATAGATTCGTTACTTATGAAACTTTACGGGCTTTGCCTTCCCCATTTTTTTCCGTGCCCCCACTGCAAAACAAATGAAAGGCGTTTGACTTTTTCGGGATTTTTCAGCCGAAGCTAGAAAATAAGTTGTAAGATAAAAGCTTCAGTAATGTATTTCAAGTCTCTCATCTAATATCATTGCTTTGTTCAAGTTGGATTCAAGATTCATTAATACCTAGATATGTACATATGTACATATTATAAACATATTTAGTTTATATATAGTTTGACTTTTGTGTTTATCATACACTAGGTATGTATGCGCATTCCAAATCTCAGTGATTGTAATAAGTAAGTTATTACAAAATGCCATTAAGTACATTTTCCTCTTATTTAAAAAATATCACATTACAGGTTTTGCACATAGCGACGTACAATTTTTGCCTTGTGTATGCAAACAAATCGAATAATAAATATAATAAGAACACCGCTCGCTAAATATCCTACAACTAGGGCAGCACGTTTACGTCTCCGCCAGCGTTGGTAATCGTGCCACGTAGTGTAACGATTTCGATATTCATATTGTAATTCAAAGTTACTTCTTCGAGGAAACAGGGAAAGGTAGAAGTCCTCCAATAAATGCCGTATTAATTCATTATCTTCAGCGTGCTTAGGCTCTAAATTGTCATTAATGCAGTTAAATTTTCTGAAATATATGATGTTTATGTATATGCATAGAACGGACATATGTATGTGCAAAGTTTCAGTTAATTATGGTAGTTTACCTTGGATTGCGCCGAATTTTATCGAATCCATCAACAACTTCTGAGATATTGGAAGTTAGCATCATAAAATTATTATGGATTGCACGTTTTGGATTTATGTTATATTTGTATTTAGGGCGTCTAGCAAAATTTGATTCCAGCGCCTCGGCTAACAAATGACAGTGTTCGACCAACTCACGAGATATGGTCGGCTAGAGGGAAAAACGGGTGCATAAGTAACTTACAAATATGAAAGTATGGGTGCTTTACTTATACTAACCACATTGGAATCTTCGTAACGTTCATAAACGAGAGTTGTATACTCTTCAGTACTTTTGTGTGAAACATCCAAGTCACGCGAACAGTTGCCAACTACTTCTTCGAAGAAGCGAACCGCTGACCAATCCAATGGTAGAGGATACATGCGTGCCAAAAATGTTCGTACCTCACGATCAGACCATGTATGCGAGCCGTCAGTGTCGAATTCGTCAAATATTTGTCCCACGGTAAACGTTATGGTTTCACTCATCAGAAATGAGTAATAAGCGAAAGCAAACTGTAAGTCTTCCATTGATCGAAAACGATTAGTAATAGTAACGTCTATCTCCTTAGCAAATTTTTTCTGCATTTCATTTATTATATTCTGATCAAGCAAGAATCCCACGTGCGCCATTACATTGCGCGCTTTAAAGCCATAGTGTCGGTTCAGCAGCATATTGGTGTTTATGAGAGAGTGTGAGTAGATGTCCTTGCTAGTTTCGTTTTTTGACGGTTTGACAAATTCATTTGCATGCCTAGTTGTTGGGACAGGGCTAGAATTTGAAAGTATTTGTACATTTGGGTGAGCGACTGACTTTATTTGGTTATTGTAATAGTCGACAATGCGTCTTAATTCAGAAAGTGTACTCAGGTTCTTATGTCGCACCAGCTCTCGGAAATGTGAGCCATTCCGTTGAGCGGAATGTTTCTTGTTGCGAAATTTTTTCCGTAATGGAAAATGTCGTATTTCATTACGTGCTGTTGCATTTATTTGGTTAGATTTTAAGTTAGTCGATTTTTCATGTTCGCCTGTATCATGTTCCGATATATTTTCTTCACTTGTGCCTGTTCCAAAAATGCTGCAATCACCCCCATCATATTGACATTTGGCAATATTGCAATGCCGGTCACATGCACCATCACCAATGTACGTCCAGGGGCAATCTTCAGCACAATCGGGCACCATCCAGGCTTGATAAATACGCACGCCTTCCGACTCAGTATACAGATCCTCCGGATAGACTGGTGCACCCAAAAATATATCATCATTCAAATAGAGAAAGCGTTGTGATAATTGTGGTATGCGGTGAATGAATGTTTCTATGGCGGAACTAGAAAATGTGGGTAACAGTTCGGGCTTTGGTGTGAGTACTTCGTGTGGTACTATCGTAATTCTTTCGTTGCTAAGATCAAGCCAATGTGGAATTTGACCATTGGTGACTATATAAATATGTCGCACCCAGGGGGCATACTTTTCAAGTGATCGCAATGAATATCGAAGTTCGTTTTTATCATCGAATCGTGCTGGATCATAAGAGGGATTATATCGCCGCACGTCTTCAGTAAATTCAAGGTCAGATCCGTTGACCCAAGTATAGACCACATCAATTGATTCACAGTACGACAAAGGTTTAGAGAAAATATTTCGCTATAAAGAGAAAATAACTTATGTGAATGGAAAACAATTTAACATGAATTGACTTACCAGTTGAAATAAACATAAAGTAATTACCACTATAACGAAGAAGAGCAGCAAACGCCGCCGTCGAATCCGTTTCCAGCTATTTTTCAGCATTCGACACCACTTTCTTTGAACACGCATACCGCTGTTTTTAATACATTTTGTTTACTAATTTGGTTATTTGTTTATACCTGTTCCAAAGCTTTGCATGCTTTCGTTCAGCTGATAACAGCCAATGTTGCCACAAAGCACTGAAAACATTAATTTTTTTTTTTTTTTTACCCAATAGTTCGAAACGATTGCTACAAGTTTTCATGTTTTAGCGTTTTCGTACGCAAAAACTAAGATGACAGTTTATTTCCTGTAAAAACGCCAACCAGTGATCGCTTCACACTTTTCATGATTTTACCAGCAGAAACATTTCGGGTAAAATCTTGCAACTTAATTCTCTACACAACTCTCCACACAACACTCTCATTTACAGGATTTTGGAGTACGGGATCATTTTTCCTTTTAACTTCCTGCAAGTTTGTGTCAAAACATGTAAGTTCATGGAGTACTGGATCAGAGCTAGGCCCGTCACAGCCAAAAGTTTTTGCCTACCAACTGTCATTTTTCTTGCCTGATAAAAATTTTAGTAGAGGCAATATTTGTGCGTGGGCACTTTTCAATCTTGATAAAAAAAAACATTTGTAAGATGGCTATGGCTCCATGGGTAAAATTTTGCCTGATAACATTATCGAGATAAAAACTTTTGCCTGTGGAGACAGCAAGTAAAATAACGACGTCACCTTAGTATGGGTCTCTTAAACTCGTAAATTTACGAGCCTCGTGAAGGAACTGTCAAAATTTGTTTTTACCTGCCCCTCGTAAAATTACGAGGCAAATTTTATGCGCAAACGACCTCGTAAACTCCAGTTTTGCCGTGGGGCCGAAATTTTTATACTAAAATGTATAATAAAATAATGAAAATAAATGAAACAAATAATAAGCGAATAAAATGAATGAATTTCATCCACTAACTGCATTGACTTAGGATTTTTTGCGAATTTTCGGCATTTTTAATTGCATTTTAGCCAAAAGTGTTAGACAAGATGGCCGTAAGTTATGGAAAATACTACGAAACAAAAATTGCTCCACGAAATCCTGGCTGATCTGTTAAACAGCCACTTTACGCACTTATTTACAACTTTTCACAAAGGGGACGTTCCCATAAAAGCCTCGTAAACTTGCGAGTTTTACTCAGTTTAATAATTTTTATGAATAAGACCATATGACATCGAAAGTATTAGGTAGTTTTAATTTTGTTGTGTAATGCATACCTTGATGCAACACTGCGCATCACGAGTTCGAGTCTCTAATCACTACTCGAAATTCGAAAATAGGTGCCATTCGAATATATCACATGACTGTCATATGCAGCTACAAAGAATTTCGCATTTTGACAGGGCGAATTTTCATTGGAGGTGAAACGTTTGGATTTTTGCCATTAGCTCCCTTATAATTTCGTTAAATTTTCGGTTTGCTCGCGTTTTCACTTCAACTTTGTTTGGATTATTACTTCTTTGAAGTACAGAGTTTTTATAAAAAAAGTGAAAATGAAGTTTGTATTCCTGACGCTGTTCATAATTGGTGTTGCAGCAGCTGCGAAGTACAACACCGTCTTACTGGGTGGAGCGCAGAGGTACGAAGATTCGTCATAACTTTATCTCCAACTTTAATGTGATTATTTTCAATAGCACAACGCCATCAGCGCTGTCAAAAGTTACATCCGAGGAATTCTATAGCATTCTGAAACCCCTGGCCGAAAACAACCAGATTGTTGTGTTCCAAGAACCTGGTGTAAGTAGTGCATATAATTCTATCTATATCTACAGATTTAACCGTTGTATAAACTTTAGTTATCTTTCCATGATTTCTTGTGCAAGAAAAACGGCACGGAGTCACAGTCATGTTATGCTCACTTAAGCTCAATCACCCCAAAAACATTCTATGCTAAAGGAGACCTTTCCGATAAAGTATTGGCGTCAATAGATCCGAATTATGTTGTGATTTCTATCCCTAAAGATGGTAATCTTGAAACGCCTCTTAAATGTGAAGCTCACAAGGTCTATATCTTTCAATTCAGTGAAGAAACTGAGTTAAGCCGCGAGGATACTTTGGAAGCACATGGTCAGTCTGATATTAACTTCGGTTTAGCCAATATCTTTAAGTACGGTTTTCTATGTTTATTCACAGATTTCATCATTCAAAAAATCATTAAGCAATTGTCCTGCCCTACAATCTTGTTGTATACAGCTACACCCGTAGAAGAGACGTCTGTAAATAAACGTTCACGACGTGCAGTTTCTGTTTGGGAGACCGCTGCGCCTGAAGGTGGTACTATATTCGCTGATACTAAATTTCAGATTTTCTACACAAAACTGGCAGTTAAGATCGGTACTGCCGCTGCCAAAGAAATTACCATTAGCAGCATGAGCATCCAGGAGCGTAACACAACTGATTTCACAGTCACACTTGCAAGCAGCGATGCTACCGACACTATCACTTTCGATATTGAGTTAGTAAAGGGGTACTATTATATGAAGCAATTGACGTACAATACGAATACACAATTCCGTACGACAGATATAAATGCGCCACCAGCTTTCTCATACTATTGCGGCAATTTGACTGTGTATTCAAACAGCGGCGACTCACTTCTTTGGAATTCCGTCCAATTCCAAGCTCCTTTCGGAAGTAAAGTTACAGCAGTAGGTGACAAATATTTTGAATTTGGTGACTCTTGGAATTGCGTTGGGTTTGTTACACACGCAATCCTTGCTGGGTTATTTGTATCGTTAATTTTACTTGCAATTCTTTTCGTCGGCATTTGCTGGATGATGGATATTAACACAATGGATCGCTTTGATGATCCCAAAGGCAAGACAATCACAATTAACGCAAATGAGTAGTGAAATATCGAGTGATAAACGCGGGTAAATTACTATTATCCGAAAAGCAGCTACTGCATATGGCGTTATTGCGCTGTCAGTTGCGCACACTTCATTCCCTTTTATGTTATTATTTTATGGCATTGTACAGGCCAATTTCATTTAACTAAATATGTATTTTTGGAAGCCAGGTAAAAGCATAGGTAGAATATTTGCTTTGAGCAAATTGAACTGCCTTCCAACATTAAAATCATAAAATATGGAAATTAAGATTTCAACTAAAGTGAGTTCATTCTCCCAAGTTCTGTTTGAAATACCTAATGAGGATTTTGCGCTGTACATTCGTAAGTTTCTCCCGCAATTCCCATTAAATTTATTCCACCTCTTTTCTCAGCATCATAATTGGGTTTATTATTTTCTTGTTTATTTAAGGGAATTGTAGTTGAAACTTGTGTTCTCAATTATATGGTATGATGACTAAAAGTTACTTCTATCAAAGTTTTTTTTTATATTGCAATTTATTTTCACTCGACTTCGATTTCACATGTGTGTGCCTTAACCGACTTCTGGTAAGAGCCGTGTTCATCTGGGAGTTAGCGCAAACATATTTTGTGTGTGAATATGTTTGCAAGCAACCATCCACCTGATATCAATGTGTTGTAGTATGTATTCGATTTTTATACGTACTCTATCAATATTAATATATTTTATAGTTCCGTATATTATATGTATGTTAGGCACAAAACCGACCATGTTAACGTATATAGAGGAGCCAATAAAGTTGTTCATTTTGTTGCTAATTATGTGTTTATCTTTTTACGTGGATTCCAAATCCAAATACCAATAAAATGCAAAACGAAGTATTTTATTAGATCCCTGGCTTTGGTGAATATCTCGCTGAAAAACTTCAAATTTTAACAGGGAAAAATGTATTTTTTTGTTGTATTAAAGCCTGTTATTTTACAAATAAATCAACTTACTAACGAAATTAAAAGATAAACAAAACAGAGTTGAACGATCAAATGAAAGAATGTTACTCATACGCCATGTAGATGGATGTACGAGAAGGCTATGCACATAAAATACATGACGCATGAGTAACATTCTGCTATAATTTCACTCACAATTTTTTTAACCGACTTCTAAAAAGAAGGTTATCAATTCGTCGGAATTTTTATACCCGAGCGCACTTGTGCACAAGGGTATATTAATTTTGTTCACGTAACTGTTGTTTGTAACAGCCAAAACGAATCGAGATAGATATAGACAAATGTATACATAAATGATCAGGATGAAAAAAGAAATCGATTAAGCCATGTCTGTCTGTCCGTCCGTCCGTCCGTCTGTCCGTCTGTCCGTCTGTCCGTCCGTCCGTGTACACGATAACTCGAGCAAAAATTGAGATATCTCAACGAAATTTGGTATGTAGGTTTCCCTTAATCCAAGGTAGGTTGGTATTGAAAATGGGCGAAATCGGACTGTAACCACGCCCACTTCCTATATAACGGTAATTTCCAGAAATACGAAAACTGCGATATTTTAGTAACTACTGAAGATAATTCACTCAAAATTGATATTTACAATAACTTTTAGCCTTGATACAGCATACTAAATGGCCGAAAATTTAGAAAATCGGACATTAACCACGCCCACATCCCATATAACAGTAATTTTCGGAAATACGAAAACTGCGATATTTTAGTAACTACTGAAGATTATTCACTCAAAATTAATATTTACAACAATTTTTCGACGAAAACTAAGAGTGTTGTAAATTTTTGGAAAATGGGCGTAGCTACGCCCACTTATGGTTACATGTGTATATCTCGGTACCCGCTACACTAATTTCTTCCAAACTTGGCACAGTTGTTGGCCTTGGTACAGCATAAAAAATCGACGAAACTTTTTAAAATCGGAGGATAACCACGCCCACATCCCATATAACGGTAATTTAGACAAATACAAAATCTTCGATAAATCAGTAAATATTGAAGCTAATTTATTCAAAATTGATGCTTGCAACAATTCTTTACCAAGAAATACGTTAATGGTAAAATTTTGGAAAACGGGCGTGGCACCGCCCACTTATGATCACATATAGGTATATCGGTAACCGTTCTACCAATTTGTACCAAACTCGGTGTGGTTATTGTGCTTGCCACATATAAGCAAAACGTTGAAAATTATTGAAATCGGACTAAAATTACGGTCGCTTTTCATATAACGGTTAATTTCAGAAATGCTTGAAACTTCAATATTTCGAAATTTAAGGACGCTAATTTACTCAAAATTGATACACCCCGGCTTACCATCTAGCGGTAGGTTTCGGAAAGGTGATAAAACATATATTTAATACTTGCGCCGGGTATTTAATGTTCGGCTCCGCCCGAACTTAGACTTTTTTACTTGTTTTTGTTTGTTTTTGTACGCATAACTTTGGACCATGTTATCCGATTTCTATAATTCTTTTTTTTTTTAAAGGAAAAGTGTTCAACTCAAAGGTGGTCCCATACTTATTTGACTTAGATCCGATTATTGGATTTTGAAGAAATTAATG